ATCAAATTTCCCGAACACCCTTTTATATCGTCACTTCGCTGTCAGACCACGTGGTTTAACCCATAGTTGTGTATAGGTCTTGTATAACTCGTCATTACGGTGACCACAATTTATATACCTATATTATAATATGGTTACAACAAGCCCGTTAACTTCGACCCGCTTGTATATATTCGAACACTTAGCAGCGGCAACAATAGTGGGATATGCGGGTTTTATGACGAGTGTCGTGTCGCGCGAACACCGCGACAAACGTAATGTGCAGGTGATTAAACTTAACGAGAGCGCACATCCGTAACTTGCATATTGTTAAGAGCAAGGAGAAATATTATTCTAATTCCACATTGATGTGGTCATAAAACAACCATAAAACGAATGTGCATATTCGATTGTAATCGTAATTTTTCGCTACGTAACATTTCAATTTTATCTTGTGGACATGATATACTTACTAACTTACTTGGGAACGCAAACATTCGTTAAAATCAAACTGCATCAATAATGTTTTTATTTTAAACGTATTGAGGTACAAAAAATAAAAACTTCATCACCAATCGTATGACAATAATATTAACAAATAATATTAAATTTAAGTAATAATTTGAGTAAAGGATAACAAGACGGGTCAATTGTTCTCCCTCCCCTTGTTTTTAATTTATTTCGATAAATTAAGGAAAGATTACATTTATGGTGAAATCAGGACTTCTTGATTTTCGTACATTTTTACTTTATGTTATTATTATTATCAATGTTGTTTGTTTCTTCGAAAATAATTTAATAATTATGATATACTAAAGGTAAAGTTAGGTAACTTTATGTTTATTTTAAAATTTGAGTGAAAGGAGTTGGATTTTTCCATTGATATTACTATGATGTGTGTATTTTTTTTTGTCTGTAAACAACTTTTCTACCAGAAATCTTGCTCCAATCAAAAAATAAAACATATTTTAATATATCATAACATTCGTTCGACCTTTCCGACTACTCCATAGTGACACACCAACACATCGGCAGTATCAGCTCTTTTTTCTTAATAACATTCACTTAACCATCCTTTATTTTTGTAAAGAGGGACCCTTATAAAAATGTTCGCAAATTCCCATGGTTATATTAAACAAAATCTCTTAATAATTTATCGAAATAAAAAAAATTGATTTAATAAGCTTCGTGGCTGTTTTTAGATTCTGAGTGGAGTGAAGAAGCTTATGGTTTTACAAAGATGTTTATTTCTATTTTCTGTGGACAACTTTTCTACCAGAAATTTTGCTCTTTTAATGATAGCAATGTTTTTGAAAGGAAATTTTACTGGGGAAGTACTTTAGAGAGGTTTTTTTTTTCCATTATCCCCGGAGATTTCTCAGCAAATATGTAAAACTAAGAAAATCGGTACATTAAACAAATATTATTAAAGAAAATATATAGGGCCTATTTAATTATTTTACTATAAAATGACATATATGTTGTTGAAAAAGCATCACTATCAACTGAACTCCGCTCAGAATCCTTTTTTTTGTAAGCTATGGTTTATATCGTTGTTTACAGGTGTACATTAAATTACCTATAACAGTAGCTGAATCCGTCCCCATGATCATAGGACATCTTTTATTTTCAATTAACAATTCAGCAATCATAGTCACGAATATAACTTAAATACGGAACGGAGTTGTGTGTACGCTACTGACTCGCGTAACAATGTAGACGGTTTTTAAGAACCTTTAACGGAATCGAATAGTTTTACTGGATAAAGTATATTGGTATTATTTATTAAAAATTATAATAATATTAATTATGTATTCTATATCGGTGTTGGGTATTATAGTAAAACCACGAGAAACTTCTCTTGGCTGATATTATCCGTTTTAACTAAACATCATGTTACCCAAATTCACCGTCGTTAATTAGAACGTACCGAGGTACCTATAAACTTTGCGGAAAAAAATTTAAATAATATATACGTAACATATTATATACATATTTATAAGCTTTAGAAGAAGCTTACAGTTAGAGTGTTGATGATATTATAATATAATACTGTCTATACATAATTTATATATTATTATAACAACTATGAAAACTATAATAAAGTGCCGAATACTCAAAAACTGCAATAATCGTACTAGAATATCTATTGATTCAGTAATGTTATAATATTCAATTGAAAAAGTCTATACCTAGACAATGCTACATGATTATTTGAGTATCGGTAATGTACATTATATTACCTAACTACCTGCACATTATTATTTGTATACTACTCAGTGATACATAGTAGATATTGTCCGTCATCTAGACTGATTAATTCAAACGCAAATTATTTACTTAAACTATTATGCAAAGTGTCCGGCAAAAAGTGAACATTAACTGGAAATTACAATAGTTTATTGTGTTTTACATCTCAGATTTAAATGGTAACTGTGCATTTAAGCATACCTATCGTATTGTATTGTTAAATGAAGAATACTTCATTTAATCCATGAAAACCACTAATAATTTGTTTTAACAATTATTACCTAATTAATTTTGATTTAATTAAAATGAAAAACCTTAATAGTTTTTAAAAGTGCCATACTATCGTAAAGCTCACAGCATCATTATTTAATACGGTATAATGCACTTCAGTACCGCAATTTATGTTTGCGTATAGTAGGTAACTGTTTTCGGGGAAAATTCGAAAGAAAAAAAAAAGCAAAAACGGTTTCTATGATAACTGATGTATTATATTATTGTCCTACATTAAAAATTTACAATTTTCTAATAGCATTCATATTCGTTTATTTTATGTTTGTTAAACTTATGTAATTTTTTTGACAAGTAAACAGTGCATTGTTTTAATATCTACTATGGAATCGATTATTATAATAATACTGTTATCGAGATTAAACTCAATCTCATGTTCATCTATACCGGATAAAATTAATTTGGACAAAAATCCTGATCACAATAAAAATTTTTACGAACAGACATCCGAACTTCACTATGGTAAGTACTCGTACCCAATACCTATATGTATCCAGTGTCAGTCTGGCTATTAGGTCACGATCACAGCCGGGGCTGCCGGTCGTATTTGTGTCTGGGGGCTTCCGTTTCGCAAGATTTATAAAATATCATCATTTCACTATTGAATGGACGAAAAATGTATAAAAAAAATAACTGAAAATTTAAATGCTGCTGAAAATCACTTGTGAACAAAGCATATTCATGCTGAAAAATCCACTGTTATTTTTAGAAATATCGACCAATGACACTCGACAATCTAATCACCCGACCCAATATCACATTGATGAAATGTTCCAGGAGCCCTTGATGTACCGTGCCGGAACTATACGTTTACGCATGGGTACAGAGAAAAACCAAAAAGTTAATTTCAAAACTTAACAATTTTTTTTTTTACAAAATAAAAAGTTCGTAATAAGTTTAATGTTAAACTTTAAAATGTAGTAACCACAACACAATAATGTCAAATTATATTATCGACCGCGGCTACGGTCGTATAATAACTTAACACTTGTCTGGTTATCAGTTGACTTGCCTGTTTTTTTTTTTCTTGTAGGCCTAAACTTCTCGCGTTTATTACTTTCGACTATTATGGGTTTTTCGATGGTTTAAAACTTGCATAAAAGCTATACCAATATCGTTATTTTGAAAAAAAAAAAAAAAGGTGATTTTTCTGGTTTCTTCCCGTACTCTTCATAAATATGCACTTCACACATTTTAACAGAACTAAAACACGATCGTTATTTTTTTTCCCTAAAAATTATAGTCTATAAAATATGCGTATATTATTATAATCTCAGTAAAATTTCTGAATTCTATATTTCATATAGATTTATGATAAATTGTTTGAAAGGCCAATTAAAACTTTGGTTTCGTGAGAAATTCTTAATTTCAGCAGTTACGCGGATTTCAAAATGTCGATTGTACAATTGAGAGACACATCTAACAGGAAATTCTGTAGTGTACACAGTTTCTTCCGCGCTTCTAGAACGACTGTATACGATCATTTATCTTTCTTCGGAAGTTTGTAATCAAGCAATAACGATGATGGAAATTTAATATTTTCCCGGATATTCGGAAATTACGTATTTTACAAATTCGTATAATTTATTATTATTTCTACTGAGAAATGTCGACAATTGATTTTAATATTATACACTAGTGTTGGGACATATATTCGGGTTTCTGTACTTTAAAAGTTTTTTAGATATTATGTTTGTTGTGGCTCGTGCGATAAATCTTCTCTGACACTGGGTCTTAATTATGCAATACACATTTTGTTAGTTCTTCACGTGATTCTTGGTGGTTTGATACTTCTTTTATTGTGTGCCTTAACATTTATAAGCAAAATATCCTTGATCGAATTGCATTCGATTAATAAAAAAACATCAAAATAGGTTACTACTGTATAGTATATTTAATAATATAATAATCAATTAATATTCATTTATTATGTAATTAAATCAAAGAAAAAATATGTTCACGTGTAAGTGGATACAATGCCATTATAATAAACGCATAGATTCAACACAGAGTGTACAATTCTCACTTAGATTTGAATCTCACTTACCTTCTGTAAGCAATGCTTGTGGTGAAGGTATGGAGCTGTGATTACATTGATACTCGTACAATAATATTAGATAATATATATTTTTTTGTTTATCTACGTTACGTACAATACCCGAACAGTACCCCGTGGAACGGTCACGGATATTCGGGTTATGTATAATCCGGATTTTAAGTGTCCGGACAGTTCCGGCCACGATCGGGGTTTCTCGTCGTTCTAGGAAATTACCATTAGCCGAACGAGTTGTCGAACGGTTGACGCATTTTTATGATCCACAGTGCCGTCGATCGGTCGCGGAAAGCTCGCGGACGGCAGACGGGACGCGGACAGGGGCCCGTTTAGCTGTGCGCGAACGCCGGGCTGTGCGGAGCCGACGAACGCGACAGTGACGGCGCCCGCCGTACGGTGGACGGTCGAGGAAAAATGGCTGCTCGAAGTGATGTACTCGTCGAAGAGGACGACCGAGCAACAGGGCCGTGCCGTCAATAAGTGGCGGAAAAAGAAAACGCAACCGCGTCCGCCGCCCGGCGCGAAACCGTCGTCGTCGGCCCGGCCGCCGCCGCTGTTACCGTGGCATGTACCGCCGTCACCGCGGCCCGCGCCAACGTCGCCGCGTTTGACGCCGTCCACCGCGTCGGTACCGCGGCGGCCACCAGCGCCGGAACCGTCCGCCGACGACGGCCGGACACCGATCCCGGCGCGACGGGTGAAAAACCTAACGACCGGGAAGTACGGGAAAATCGACGGTCCGACGGCCGGCCGCGGTATGGACTCGCCGAGAACGTATCTATTATTGTTCGACGAACACGGCGCGTTAGTTGGAAAATGATTGAAATGCGCGTTAACAGTCGCCCGGTGGCGGACGAATAACGATCATCCGGTAAACAATATTGCCGTCAAAGACGTTTGAAATCCCGCGCTCTGGGTAATGTAAAAGACAAAAAAAAAAAAAACTCTGACGGCGATAATCCGAAAAGTTCCAATCCGGAAATTACACAAATACCCCGACCCCGTAATATTCCGGAACGTCCGCGGCCGCGAAAATACGGAAAATAAATTCCCGGACCGTAATTTCTCGGGAAATAAATCCTCGAGCCGTGTACGTAATGCCATACGTTCCGTGGTTTCCGCAGTATCGCAGCGTGTTGACGCTCTAGAATTTCCCGAATCGTTTCGTTTCGCGCGGCGCCCCCGCACAACAATGTATGGTGGTATCGATAATTGTACGTATACATTTGCCTTGTATTATCCATAACCGTTCGTATTAAACCGCGGAGTTTAAAACGAAAAAATTGGCAGTTTTCGATTTGTTTACTTTGCCGATGTCTTATTTAGTTGTGGCGCGATTGTATCGGCACAATCGATTATTCGGGCATTTCGACGGTATAACGATACTCAATTATACAGATAACACGGTCAATACGCGCGATAACATTATCATTCTTTATGTCGATTACCGTTATCTCACCGTCGTTGCAATGTGGATAAGCCCGAAATAAAATCATAAATAATTGTATAGATACATAGGTTATAAAAAAAAACAGCGAATATTCGAGGCACGCTGCGATGTTCCCGATTAAATGGTTTTTAATTTTTGTAAACTATTTTTTCAACATAAATATTGCTCCGATTAAAAAATGACAAGATATCGATTTTGTTCCTTTGATGTCTGGCCACTCTCGAAGAAAGTCGCTTTTTGATATCTAAAGTAGTTTTCATAATAATTTAGCAAACCGGAAAAATACGAAAAATGAAAAACTAACAAATTTATGACGTACGATTTCAATATTTTAAATTCGTATGGTTTATATTTTCTACCATAAATATATTACTACAATAGAAAAACAATATGAAAACTTTTTTGTTGCATTTTTAATCTAGCTGATGAGTAAGAAAGTCTTTTTTTGGTTTTTTCTGTAGTCTTTTAAATAGTTTGCTGTCTCGAATTAAAATTTCTATAAATAGTTCAAAATGTTTTGAAATTTTTACCCCATATAGAAAAGGCAAGCCCGTAAATTTGTCAATTTTAATTTTTTGTCTTTTTTTTTAGGTTTTTCCCGTTGTTTATGAAAACTATTCGGAAATACAAAAAATGACTTTCTTAAAGAAGTTAAGAAAAAAACACCGTTCACAAGGTACTAGTTTAATTCTTAAGGCATTAGGAGACAATGTAAAATGTCTATTATCATTAGTCGTTTATGAATACGTGTATTTATTTTACTCGAAATGACTTACGACTTTTCTAGATAAAACTTAATTATTACGTACCTAACCTGCATTATATTAATAAAAAATTAATATTGTAACAAATACGGCAAAAGCAATTAACGTGTCCACATTAGTCGCACGCATTAACAACGAAATCGGTTTATTGCTTGTAATGTATATTATTATAGTTGTACTAACTATGAGTCTATGACATTATAATATAAAGCCTTTAGTAAATAGGTATTCACATTAATACAGGAAATCGTTGTACGGGTAGTAGTTAGTAGGCCGGAATACAGAAATTAATATTGTACGACAAACAGGAGGCGTCGTTAAAACGGTAATTTAACCAATATTGCGGTAAACCTACCTTAAACGTCATCGAATCTATCAGCCAGCCAGGTATAGCGAATTCGGACCTTTCGGATTTTTAAAGTGTTTCTGAATGATTCATCTCTGGTATCATAGAGCAACGACGGTGATGTTATTAAACAAATCCTATGCTTAACCTAGAAAATGCAATAAATCGATATTCTTCCTCAACTGTCCTACAAGTGTCACGTAAACCTTATCGAAATATTGAAATTCGATAAAACTTACATTTTATACAATATTACTATCGAGAAAATATTTCTACAGAAATATTCAACATTGCATACTATTGTGGATACATTTTAAGTGTCGAATCTATCCAATAAAAAGCTACTCGGTTTTATAATTAGTGTTTTTTTTTTTTTTTTTTTATTAAATCTTCAATACTAAATTTGTGTTAAAACAGAATTTTATGAATTATTATTATTTAAACCGTGAGAACATCAACGGACATGGAGTTTTCTGACCAGTTAATCATATGTCCATGAGTATAATTTCTGAAATTACCAACTACAACAGTACTATGGAACGAAATATGTCCTGAAAGTACCTTCCCAGTCACATTTTCTTTCAAAAAAAAGTACTATCATTGTAAATCAGAGCACAATTGCTAGTAGAAAAGTCGTCCACAGCAAAAAAAAAATCGTAATATCTTATTAATATATTTCGTACATTTTCCCGTTTTTTCTCCATTGTTTTTTTTAGTTTTTCGCATATAATGAGGAAACCCCTGCGAAGTTCGAAAAATAACCCCATAAAGTACCGCCTCGTGGAAATTTCCCTTCATGAAAGCGTCCATATGATATACACCGGAGTAAGCCATCTGGTAAAAGAATCGTTCACGTGATAAAATTAAACATCTTTGTAAAATCAATACATTTTGCGCTACATTCAGAATCTGATAAAAAAAAAAAAAATACGACGAACGTCGACATGCATCGACGAAAGCGCTGTAAATAGGTTACACGGAGTCGTCGATATTCCGAAGTTATTGGTGTGACGTCGTATATGCCGGCTAAATCAGTAACGTTGTGGACATTGTCATCGTATCCAATAAATATAAGTACGAGCATCATCCGGGCTGGATATTTAAACAAACTAAAATACGCAATTTTTATCAATCAATATTAAGGTGTACACTATTTTCAATACACTGAATAGTACGGAATTATGTTTTGTTAATAAACACGTAAACGCGATCGCCACAGTCTATAGATATTACGAACAGTTATGATGCTCGGACGGCGGGGAAAAATTGAGGCGCGACGGAGTTGCGGTCTCCGGTGGCGCGGAGCAACACGGTGTATTTTTTTGGGTTTTCCTAATTTTTACGTAGCGGCGTCGTCTACGACGTGTGTACGACGTTTTTATTTCTCGTATTTTATATTTGTCCGTTACTTGGAAATATTGTTGAGACGTCAATTGTGATGTCATCGCTTACGTTTGTAATGTTCAAATAATGTTTTTTTTTTTTGAAAATTTCATGTAACGTCAATGCTAAATTAATGCTGGCAGACTCAAATAGTGACATGGTATAAACATTCCATTGAAAGTCACAATAAACGCGGGACGTCAGCAGTCGCAGCAACGTTACAGTAACATCTATGCAACACAATCTGTAATACAACATGTTTCCGCGAAACATCACTGCAACGACCATAGAACAGATTATTGGACAATACAGTTGGCAATCCAAACGAATTTTATGTCTGCGTCAAAAATGTGTTGCAATTTTTTTTTTCAATGCCACAAATTGTAGTAATACAAAAAATAAAGAACAAGAAAGAAATAATAAATAAAAATGTAAAAATGTAATTGTAGTTAATTGGGTGAATTTTCAGTAATACAAAGAATAAATATAATTGTTTGAAATATATCAAAAGTTCAGCTTACTAATTAAATTACTGCCTTCCTCTTGATGTTTGAAGGGATTCGGAGTCGTGAATCCGAGAATAGTAACGAGATCAATAAATCAGAAATCGTTTTACTTGCCCACGGTGTTGGAACGCCAGAATGTAACCTGTCGGTCGTCGGACAGCAGATGGAAACAACGCAATTGAAATAACCTAATATAATTAAATAACACTTTGCACCTGTGTGCACTCAGATAAAAAATGCTAATTTTTAAATTAGGATTGACAACAGGTTGAATTAAGGTTGAATTGAATAAAATAAATATATAAAGAAATCGAACACGAGTGATTAACCGCTGAAAGTCGGAGCTAGCTATTCGAGAGAGATTTTCGAAAGAAGTTGGTGGCTTTCTCACGCGGGCGTGTTGTTCGAGACATCGAGAAAAAACCGTTATATTTTGATTTAAACTACTTACGCGTCTGGGCAATGAATGGTTATCCGTTAATCATGAAACTACAATTACTGCAATTTTTTTTAGTAATAATTTTATTTATGCTACGGTGGTGGTGTCGCAGGTACGCCGACCGCCGGAATGTACTAAGTTCTAGTAATACTCAGTTCTTAACAGTCAAAAATGTTTATTATCAAAATTATTTAATATTAATATTTTTACTGTAATGATTTTGAATTAAAAATAGAATGAATAACTTGCAGATATATATTAAATGCTCACGCTCATATATCTTAAAATTTCGTAATATGCGTCCATTGAATAATCGCTTTTGTTTAAATGCTAAGTGGCAACTATTTCATAAAACGTTTCTGAATCTTCTCCAACGCTGGCCATGAACATCATCACATGAATACTGAATGGAGAATAAAAGATATTTTCAATATTATTTTATGCCAGTTCCTTTTAAAAAATAAAATGCAATTGCTATTTATAAGGTTTAATTTTAATTTTAATAAAACTAAAAACAAATTCTTACTGCATTTAATGAAAAACAAAAATCATGGTTAGATAATCTTAATAATTTTAATTTTTCAATACATTCCCGAGCCAATTCATGTTCTTGATCTAAATAAAAAAACAAATGATTTATACATATTGACATAGGTAAATAATTAAATTAACATACTCATGGTATAGATTGCTGTTCGGATTTTGAATCAGGCGAGTAATTTTTTATATCGTTCCAGCAACCCTCCGTATGTTTGTACGTTAATATTCCTGGTGGTGATCACAAAAGTATTGAAAACATTCAAAATGTACCACAGAAATAATGCACATCTAAAATAATTTGTGTATGAATCACGAACTTTCGCTGTTACGTGCTATTATTTATATTAGTGTAATAAACATAACGGTACCTAATTAGCAATATAAAAGTGGAGCAGTTATAGTCGAATAAATTGCAAATGCTCGCAGTTTTAATAAATACTGATAATAAAAAAATGTAATGAGTCAGTATTAATAATATGAATGTTTCGTGACATTGACTACACGGTTTATTAAATAAATGTTATCTTTATGGTTTTATCTTTTTTAATTATATTTATAGACAAAAATTCGAAATAAACGTAACATCAACACCGATAAATTACGGTTTCATTATTTAAAACTTTTTTGATTTATGTTTTTTGCCAGAAATATTACAAAAGTCGTGTTTTATTCTGAAAGATAATTCTATCTTATTTGTGAGTATGCAACCCGGTTTAAGATATTCTAATAAATCGTTGATGCAAAACCTGTAGAAACAAAAGACAAACAGAAAAGTTTAAAGAAATGACGGTTTTATATTTGTTTACTCTCAGCGGAGCAAGAAATGTATTGGGTTTACAATGATGTTTATATATTTTTTTTTTTTATAGATAACATTTCTACTGTCAATTTAGCTCTGATTTTCAAGGTTAGGTAGCATTCATTTTGAAAATAAATCTGATTGGGCTGGTCATATTTTGATTTCCTAATCAATTTTCATAATAATTGTAAAAAACCTGCAAGATATGAAGAATAGATAGGACAATTTACGAAAATTAGGATTTTATTATTTTCAATTTTGTTTCAATTCAGTGAAACATATTTGTAGAGACTTGAAAATTTTACATAAACCTTCTATTTGCCTTTATAAACGTGGTAATATTTTGAGTAATTTTTAAATCATTTTAGTCATTTTCGAGCTATTTATAGACATTTTAATTTTGTGAGTTTTTCAAATTTATTTATTTGTTAGGTGATCTGTGAATAAAATTGTTGGACCAAACAGAAAAACTTGACAATTTAACAGCAGGTTCATTATAAGTTGTCTTTAATGGTCATCAAGAAAAGGTGGAGTTCAATGCAATATTTTTTTTTATAAAAATGTTAATATAAAATTTTGATGAAAATTGTAATTATTACGGCCTTTTTTTTAAAACTTTTAAATGCGTTTAAAGTCGATATTTTCGAATATTTAAATAACAATGGAGTGCCATTCATCTAGCGGCACGTCGCGCGGGGTTTTATTAGTGCTCCACAACTCAACTTCTACCAAAACTTAAAAATGGAGTATATTGTCGACGGGTTGACGAAAATCACCAAAATGTATTTAAACTAATACTCCATCTATTTGTGGATTTTTGAATACGGGTTATCATTTGAAAAATCAAAGTTATTATTGCCACAAGATATTCCTTAAAAACTGCGAAGATTTCAAGTATTCGAAAATTCGGCTTTAACTCCGATTAAAAAATTCAAAAATAATTTGAATGAATACAAAATTTAACCGAAAAATTAAGACGAGAATTCTTAGTGAATCATACTGTAGATTGACCTAAAGTAAACAAACGGTCATCGATACATTTTGTACATTGTTATTTCTTCGGTTGTGAATAACTCGTATGGTCATTTATTTTCGGGTAGCACGTTCGGTTTTAAAAAAAAAAAACGGTCGCCGATAAATTATTGTTTAAGATATAATATAATTATACACTTGCGTCGTCGCGGTGGGCGATATTATTCGTCGTTTAAGGGTGGAAGGAGGGGAGGGAGACAGAGAAATATAAACGCTTCAATAGAATAAAATCTCGCCCGTTTTGTTAAAAAGACGTCCGCAAACGGTCTCCGGGATAGCTTTTTAAACCGTTTTTATGTATTATTATTATTATTATATTCGAAGATAGAATTGGTAATTACGGTTCGGGTCACACATGTGCAGCGTAGCCGTATAGTAATACGTATTTTAGGGACGGAGTAATTTAATTTAAGCGAGCGCGGGTGTTTTATGCGTGCGCTTAAAAAAAAAATAAAAACCTACTCGCATACAATATAGACGGTCTAGTATTAATAATAATGATAATAATAATGATAATAATAAACCAAACACCCGTCCCCCGCCCGACCCGGCCACCCGCGACGTATCAGTTTTTTCCTCCGCGACGTCAAAACCGAACAATATATAAAACCAATCGCCGAGATTTTAATTGGAAAGGGTTGCCGTCGTGCGAGCACCGCCGGCGTGACGTCATCCGTGCATAATATCGGTGCCCCGACATCTGGACTGAATCTAATAATTGTCAATCCCTTATATTATATTATGCATTTTATACACACCGCGCACGCACCGCCTCCGGAGCCGATCGTACCCGCGGGGTTACGTGCATAAATCAATCGGCTGTGTCGCTGCTAATACACTGCACAGCGATGGCGGCGCGTGCTCGTTCGGTTGAAAAAAAAAAAATGCGAAATCCGATTCGATTAGGTGAGAAATTGAACGCGTCCGTCTCGCGATGCCCGTAGGTGGGGTTTCGGGACGAAAAATTAAAGCGGAATTGCCAAGCAACGCGGACCCCATTCAAGTCTGCTCCAGTATGATAATATGAGCGTCCTCGTCCGTCACTGCAGCCGTAAACCCATAAAGCCGTTTCGTTCGACGGGATCGCATCGTGTGATCGGCGTGGCGAAGAATTTCGATAACAGATTTGAAGTGCCAAGTATGCGTAAGATAATTCAGCCAGGTCACTTTTTCAATGTAATTTTGAGTTTTTTTTTTTTTCTCTTTTACATTTTTATAAATTTTAAAATAAATTCATTTCGAAATCAAGGACTGAAATTAGAAAAAGTGACTCGGTCGATCTCGTGTAGACTTCGCGATGAATTCAAATCCGATTTCGGTAGAAGAATTGAATAGAACACATTTTTATTGCGCCCGTATATCCTTGTCAAAGATGCACGGATAATTATTTCGGATATTCACGTATTTCATGTAATATGTAAACTCACGTTTAAATTCAAATGTGTTTATCTTTTTACGTGTCTTTTTACGGTCTACCGCATGCAAGTTTTAATTTCACGTTTAAACGTAAAATAAACAACCCTAGTTTTCAATAATGATTAAAAATGTAAAATTAAAAACGAAGACAAATTAATATCACAATATAACCACTACAAACTATTTAATTTCGTAATGCACACTTAACATTTCGTATTACACAAAAATTGTAGTACCAAATACAATTTCAGTCTCTATTATTATATTAATTTTAGGTATTATCTGACGTTAGTTTAAAACTTCAGTTTTAGTTCATTTATTCTTAACCAGAGAGTCACGGTCTCTGGTGAGGAGGAGTTAGTTAGTTATTATTGAACTAGTTATTTAGGGTCTAATTGAAATATCTAATTTACAAGGCGTTACATTAAAAATATTGAAAATCACAATCACTGATCTAGTTAACTAAGTATAATTCAAGGAAACGGAGTGAACCATTCAACGACTACAATAACTATTAGATTATTTATAATAAACTTATGTAACGTTCAAAATTAGAGATTATTTTACCTCTTCTGAACATGGTCCGCATCAATGTAATGGTAACAAACATTAAAAATTTTGATTTTAAACATTTATTTCTCATTTATTGTCATCAGGTCAAGTCCCTCCGCGATAATTTTTAGAAAACCGCTTAAAAAAGAGATCATTAAATTTATTGAAAAAAAACAATTTTAATAGTTTATTATAAATATAGATATAAATTTCTATATCATACTACTCCTCACTATTTAAAGTTGTCAAACGTAGCTCAGTAACGTGAATGTTGGATTACAATTTTTTTTCGTTAATTTGTTACAACTAGAGTAAAAAAAAAAATAACGAAATTTAACATCATGTTTTTATGGTCCGAAAATATAAAGTTTACCTTCCATATCTTGTATCGTGAATCTTAAAACATCGGTAAATCATTAAAATAATATTTAGCGAGGTTTTCCGTATGCGTAAAGTAATAATAAAAATCGTATTTGTATCCTACTGTACAGCGTCATAAACAACGGAAATAGTGCACTTGGACCATAAGCAGTTGACATATAGAAAGCAATAAAAAAAAAAATCTGCAACAACTGCAAATCTATACAACATTTATTGTAAGCTATGAATTATTGATCGGGCGATTTTTTTTTTTTCATCGTTATAAAAATAATGCATTGTATGAAGAAACTTTGCCCTTTAGTATGGTCCTGAAGAGTATTCGGAAGAAAATAAACGCTACCAAATCACCGGTAATGTAAAACAAATGGTATTAGTTTATTGAAACAAGGCGCGAAAATGGGATTTGTGCCGTTTCGGGGGAAAAAAAAAACTTTTATACGCACTTACGCCGGGTGAACATCTGCGACGAATTTTTCGTATAACGAAATTTAAAGCTCCGGAAATGGCCGCAGATTTGCCTTGGAACGAAGATTGGCGGAGAGGCGAGCGAGGCGTGATGTGCACGAAGAATGGGCGGGAAGGTGGGAGAAAACGTAAACGTTGCGCAAATCGGTTAAAGGCTGAAGTTTATGCAAGAAAAATGCGAGACTATAAGAACGAAAATGCTATGTCGTTAACGAAAGATTTACTTTGCGTCGTTACAATCGTTTCTGCTCCCGTATGATAAACGGGCCACGTTCACAAGTAGTAGTGTATACTTTTAAGCGTTTTGGAGCACCGTGATTGTATTATTATTGTGATTATTTTCCATTGATAATCAACTTTAATAAAGAATTTTTTTTTTTCTTCTATCCCCGTGGGTTTTTCGATTATAGACGCGACAAGCGTTTATACCGTAACAGCTATTATTATATAGATAGCCATGTAGTAATAGCGCACGATCGTTTCCGTTCAATTCGATTTCGGCCCAGGTTGTTTGTTCGTTTTTTATCTTCCGGCCGTCCGTCCTCGGGCCGATATTAAGTATTTCGCCAGATATAGGCCGAAAAGGTTTCGACCGGAATCCTCCGCGAACTGCAGTACACCTGATGCCCGAATCCGCAATGAATATACGCGCACGGGCTACGGCACGGCCCCGCAGCCTTTTGTTTTCCGGGGAATAATATATATAAATATTATATTATTATACGGCCGTGCGATTGGTTTTTCGTTATATTGTAAATTGTAATAGCTGTATAGTACAACAGTAACCGGGCGACGTGCAGAGGCGCGAAATGGCGTTTTCCAATATTTTTAAAACGGTTCGTTCGTCTATACACGGTTAGTATAAAACAACATATATAATAATATATACTTATACGGAGCGTACAATAGTCGGCAATGTTAATAATAATAATAATAATAATAATGTACCCGAACACGTGGAAAAGGCCATTTACGAAAAACATTGTTATAATGTACTTGTCGAATGAAACACAATAATAGTCTGTGCGATACGCCACAAAATCTCGGTAACCGCACACACGACACTCGCTATAGACCGTGTAGAATTGTTTTAAAATTAAATTTTAACGAAAATGATAAATATCACGGTTTTTAAAAACATGTATAACCGAACTTCGCTTCGAATTTTTTTTTTTATGAACAATGGTCTATCGTTGTTTACAGGTATGAGTTCAAGAACTTAATGTATCCCTCGTGTTTTACTTAATCAAGTGCATAATATTATATAGTATATGATTTATTATACTTTATTTATTTAAATATCAACATTACTAATAAAACAATATTATATACTAAAAACGAATTTTACAGATAATAAAAGTACAAACTCTAATTTATCCATGGGCATATTCGGTTAGTTCCACTTAAATGGAGGGGGGTATATTAAAATATTTGTAAAGATAATTTTTCCATCAATTTATAGGACTTAAACTTATAGATAATACAGATATTTTATGAAACATCGTTATACGACGCACAGCGAGGTCATACCCAGCTTCCCTTCAGAGACGCGCCTGAATATATCTGGCAATAATTATTATGATAGAATATTTAATTACGTATTTTCAATTTGTTTCGTGTTTCTAAACCACCGCAAGATCCGACCGTAAACCTCCACACAAATCACTCGACGTGACGTCCGCGTGGAATAATCCTGTACTATTTATTTGAAGGACCGTAGAGATTATCCTGGACTTAGAATAGAGACCGTTCAAATGCGGTCTCATACATAACTACCGATTTGTATTCCAAGAATGTTTGTGGTTTAACGGCAATAACAAAAAAAATAAAATAATAAAAAATACGTTACGGTACAAAAATACATAATTTATTAGTTATCGTGCTGATGCTTTAGTTTTTTTTGTCCCCGTAATAAATTAATAAAAAAATCAAATTGAGTTAATATATTATTGTACAAAAGTGTTTCAAAGTTTTATAAATAATGTTAAATGAGTAATAAAACGAAACATAATACTCGAATGAAATATTAGTACCCGTTTCATTTTATTTGTGGCGTCTAAATTATGAATAGACGATTAGGTTATGTTTTATATTTTATGTATACAATCGAGAAACTATACAAGATTTTAGCAATGTGCTTTTTTTTTTCGTTGTGCCTATAAACATGGTTTAGAGTAAAAAGATTACTACTTCAAATTTTGTATTATATCAAATGTCTAATGGTTGGAAATTTATATTTAATTGAGTTTCACAATTCAACAAAATTATTTACTATGGAATTTCTGAACAATTCTAAAATGCATATTACTATAGATAACATAGTATTATGATATATTCTACAGTGATATTATTGCAAGTCATACTTAAAATATTGATTATCTAAATTTCCATGTTAAAAATTGATAATTATTGTTCCACCATCAGCATACAGTGCCACAACAATTGAGCAAAAATCAAAATCTAAAATTCCAAATATTCTATTTCAAATATTTGTTAAAAAATTTCTGTAGGACACTTGTCAAAGTACAAACGATAATCATATACGTTTTATGTCAAAATGTACCGACTTATTTAACTTATTGACTGTTGTCTCTAGTGAAAAATTATTAATAACGGTCAAATATGAAACTACTAATTTAAATTTGAGACCTCAAAATAAATCCATGCTCGAAATTCCAAGTTGCGGCACTGACAGCGCATAGTCACGACAAGAAAATAAATTTAAAATTATTGCAATAGTTTCAGTATGAAATTATAAATACAATTTCCTCGAACATATTGTGTTAGAATCCACCGCTCGAACACACTAATATTTTGTAGATGTTGCGATAAAAACTTTCACTGGAAATGGGTTATTATATCCGTTGTTGTTGCAATGTAAAGCGACCAGCGATATTAATGGATATAATAACTTTTTATGAGCGATATTTTGTCTTGCAAACGACCGTTGGAAATAAAGATACGGTTGTGTACAATATGATGGTAATATGCTGTGGTGGAATGGGCTACTTTCTGTTACCTTGAATGTAAGGGCATCGAAATAAAAGGGTACCTCTAACAAACCCTAGCCTGAAATAAGCCATTGAATCTACGTCGAATTCTATTTCGAATCTATTTCGAATTTCCGATCGACGTATCCACCACATGACAAATAAGCAATCGCATTATCACAATTACAAAAAAACGTAATATCGGTACTTTTCACAATGTGTTACACGTTGTTGGGTTGTACAATATTATCAAATGTAAAACCTAATTCTGCGGTGGCATTTCCGTTGTATTAACGATCCTTCTAGTCAAGATTTCAAACTTTTAACTACCACACTTTTATGTCGTCGTCGTGACACGAGTTGAATTCAAAAACCCCGTTCCCTATAATGGATAGACATTGTAATGCGATTTTGTAAATTTTATACGAGTATACGGACACAACAGTATTTTTGGATTCGTATTGACGTGAACCCCGATTATTACTAGGCTATTTTACGTGTAGTATATATTTTATCATAAGCATATTATAAGTTTTAATATCACTGGAAAAGCTAGAAGAAGTGCGAGATCTATAGGTCTGGACCATTCCCGGATTATTTCATATATATTTTTATCATATGTACCTATACAATATTGCATTATATTACCAATAAATTCAAATTTTATTTATTTAATCAGAAATTTTACGTGGAGAAACAATTAACGAATAGTTAATAATATAAATAAGTCTATGAACCTACTATCCCTCACCATAACGGAAAAGAATCTGGTTGTTCCACTGAGTTTTATTATTTCGTTAAAATATTAAATTTTTTTTTTTTCATATTTTATATAGATTTTCAAATTAGTCAACCTAAATAAATAACTCTGGAAATCCAATTAATGATGGGATTTTTTTTTGATTTTTTTCACTGAAGTGTTGACTTTTTTCCCTATTTTCTCCTTCAAACCCTTATATATATATATATACCATAAAGAACCATTTGTCACGTAACAACTGCACTTTCTTTGTAACTTTTTCGTTATTACTTTTTTCCTACTCCTTTCAACTTCCCACCGTCGCTGCCGTCGCCACGTGCCGACCCCTTAGAACGTTTCAACTTTTTGTTGTAATTTTTCTCTCATAATCCCCCCACGTCTTTTAATCTGGCCGAGTATTTCGTGAATTTTTTTTTTCTTCCCGCAATCAATCACCTCAATACCGCAACGCTACAGCCATAACAAATAATCGTTCGTAAATCATCACGGTTTTTTTGATTTCATTTTAATACGCGTACACCTACCTTTGTTTTGAAGACCAAACTCCCGAACAAATAAAAAATGAATAAATGAGTAATATCCAAAGCGAAATATTTATTGCTATAGTTTCGCAACCAGAGTTTTAACAACTTACTATTAACGGTTTCATTCTAACCGCTCGATTCCGCGGTAGGTACACGCCGCGAAACCTCAATTAAATAACATACAATATATTATCCTCTTTATCATCCGCCCACCTCGCTGGCTGCTTTTGTGTCCACTGCGTAATTCTACCCAAAATGTTAAGTACGAAAACCCAGCGACAAATTTTGTAAGCTACGCCACAACGTCTCGTTCCCTGAATATCTAATTATCGCCGAACCAAAGAAGCCGACCAGATGTTTTTATTGTTTCAACTTTTTCCCCTTTATATACTCTCTTATTATATAGTCTCATACTCGCTTCTTGGTAATGGATTCTAGTCGGGAAACAAATTCGATTACGTGGTAACAGTACCGCTGAAAGTTAACAACAATAAAGTCGGAACGTTATACAATTTAAAAAGTTTACTTCTGACGAGACGTATAAATTATGTCCTCCGAACGCATATCAATTTTGATATGTTCCTCAGCTGTACGCGTATATATATATATTTTATACCTTTCTAATATAGGATATATACTCGTCTGGTTTGACCCAGTGTATTTTAAATTACCGACTGAATATTCGTGTTTGAATATTATTGTATACATCGTCATTAACAGCATCAAACAAATTTAAACGTATTACGACTAGTTGTTGCAAAAATTACGAACATTTACAACGATGGGTGCATTATAATATTATATTATGGAAGAGGAACAATCGGAAGCCGTTTATTGGTAGGTATTATATTTGAATTGGGAAATTCTGCACGCACTCGCTAAAGCTATGGAATGCATTGGAAAATATGATCGTCAAATATTTCGAACACGTGCTTTAAATATCGACCGGATCGTATTTAATTAATTTCGTCGACCGGAATCCAAAATGGAATGTTTACAGACGAGAGAGAGAGAAAAACGAAAAAGATACACATACTCATTTTTCTCGTATATTATATATACATTATATCACAAATTTTTCTCGTATATTATATATACATTATATCACAATAATAATAATATAGCGATCGGTACATTTTATTATTTTTTTTTAGAATTATTAATTTTTTATATTACAATAAAAAAAACACACGCAATCGCAAATCAATCACTAGAATAGACTATTGAGTTGGTTTTTTTTTTTTTGTTTATATTTTTGTTGTAGAAAAAAAATAATCGTGAAATGTTCATAAAAAAATGTTGTTATTTTTTTTTTTAATTTGAAATGTGAAAAATTAACAATGACTATTTTCAAATAATCATACAAATCTTAAAACATACAATTTTAAATATTATCAGAATCATTCTGCAATAATTAATCGGGC